ACGAAATGTTAGAAGCTGCAAATGAGCCAATTTACAGTGGTTGTAGAGAAGGTCTATCTAAATTGTCGTTGGCTGCTAGAATGATGAGTATTAAAACCGATCACAATCTACCTGAAAATTGTATGGATGCATGGGCAGACTTGTTTAAAGAGTATTTGCCAGAAGACAATGTGTCTGCTGAATCTTATTATCAGATTCAAAAATTGGTATATAGTCTTGGGTTGCCCTCGGAGATGATAGACGTTTGCATCGACAACTGCATGATTTACTGCGGAGATGATGAGAAGTTAGAAGAATGTCGATTTTGTAAGAAGCCACGATTCAAACCGCAAGGTCGAGGGCGCAATAGGGTACCGTACCAAAGGATGTGGTACCTACCAATCACAGACAGATTGAAAAGGTTGTACCAATCTGAGGAGACTGCTAGAGGGATGAGATGGCACGCCGAGCATACTCAGAAGGATGGAGAGATGACTCATCCATCAGATGCAAGAGCCTGGAAACATTTTAACAATGTACATCCAGATTTCGCTAGCAATAGCCGGAATCTGTATCTTGGATTATGCACTGATGGTTTTAGTCCATTTGGAATGTCTGGGAGACAATATTCATTGTGGTCGGTCTTTCTTACACCGTATAACCTGCCACCGGAGATGTGCATGCGACGAGAGTTTCTATTCATGAGCATCTTAATACCTGGTCCAAAACATCCAAAAAGATCTCTCGACATTTTTCTACAACCACTGATAAAAGAGTTGAAAGATTTGTGGTCAACAGGGGTGAGGACATATGATTGTTCAACGAGAACAAACTTTACGATGCGAGCGATGCTTTTGTGGACCATAAGTGACTTTCCTGCATATGGTATGTTGTCTGGGTGGACTACACATGGAAGATTAGCTTGTCCATATTGTAATGGAATGACATATGCGTTTTAGTTGAAGCATGGTAGGAAGACTAGTTGGTTTGATTGTCACCGTCGATTTCTTCCCATCCACCACCCATACCGCAGAAACAAGAAATTGTTCAGGCACAAAAGGGTTGTCAGAGACACTCCTCCTCCATATTTAACTTGAGAACAAATCGAAGCGCAAATCGATTACTACTATGCTCTAGAAACAGCTCCTCGTGGTAGGAATTGGCATGTTCCCAGTAATATGCCTGATTTTTATGGTGTTCAGCATAATTGGCACAAAAAGAGTATATTTTGGGAATTGCCATATTGGAAAGATCTTCTTTTGCGCCACAACCTCGATGTGATGCATATAGAGAAGAACTTTTTTGAGAACATCATGAACACTATATTGAACGTCCCAGGGAAGACGAAAGACAACGTAAAATCGAGGTTAGACTTACCCGATATCTGCTCAAGGAGTGAGCTGC